AATTAATATTTTTATAATAATTAAGAGTAATGTGTGTGTGTGTGTGAGACATGATTTTGTTCACTCTCTTTAAACAGTAAATATTGAAAGGTCATTTCTAACCGATACTTTCCCTCTATTAAATATAGCAGAACTGAAAAAGTAAAAATGATTAAAACATGCCACATATGTCAGATTTCGTAAAAAATTATCTGTCCAACTATACCACAGTGAAGAAAGAAGAAATTGTTTTCTAATAATAACAGTAACAATAGGTGAATATCCTGAATGAATATAATAATAATAATATCCTGTGTTTTCTAAAATATGCCCTGTCGTGCTCTAGAAAATAACCTAATTTCAGCTCAACGAACTATTAAACTAATTAACTCCAATTTATGGAAGATTGAAAATTATGACAACTGAAGGCCCTTCCATCCTTAAGTTCTTATATTTTAGGTCCGAATAATGCCTAGTATCGATTAAAATTTATATATAAAGGTATATATTATTTTAAATTTACAAATTTTTAAGTAATTTTGTGGGGTGTAGCGACGGAGTAACACAGCTGATGAAAACAAACACTTAGGCAATTCTTTTCAAATGAAATGTGTGTCTGACTGTTCATTCCAGCTGTGATATAGCCGCTTATAATGCACTCGTAATATTAAGTATATTAAATATTGAATGCATTGTTCGTGGAATATTTTAATAATTTTATGAATTTTATCGTTTAGAAAATATAATTTTAAATCGTTTCTTTAAATGATAAAATACGATAAAGTAAATAAAGTTGGTATAATTTAAATAAATAAAAAAAATAATAATTACAAATATACTTCTTATTACTGAGAAAATTTTAATGCTAACGTTCTATAAAATGTCCAAAATAAAAGCAATTGAAAAGTGCAACAATCGGCGAAAGGCTGTATTTTCTTCCTTTTTTTTTTTTATTCGGCATCGAAGAAGCTGGTAGAGAACACAACCGGATATAGAAAGCCCAGAGTCAGTCAAATGCCGACCGTATTGTACGTTATCCTCTTACTTTCTGACGTAATAATACATTTATTACGTAAACAAAGACAATTGATATCCATAAAGAAACATCCGAGATTTATAAGAAAATGGAAGAAAGCGAAATGTAAAAGATAAAAAAGGTAAACATTAATTAATTAATTCTACTATTATAGGGTAGATGTTTGCATATGAAACGTCACAGGAAACCTCTGTTCGAAATAACACGTGACTGTATTTATTTTTCGATATATGCATACTGTATATAGCAGGTAACAGTAGTGTATTGAGGTAACTACTATCTGAAAGTATATACTTTCACTGTAGTAACCATGATATACTGTCAACAGAGAAAGATGATAAGATTATTCCTATTCCAATTGGCTATCATCTCCGTTGTTTTGGCTGAACCCATCATTTCTGTAAAGTGTGGTATCGTATATCTTCTATTTGGCTTTATTGTTTGTTGTACTTAGTTTTACAAAGTTAACAAAATTATTATTGCAGAGGAACTAACAAATAAAAGTATCTCCATAAGTAAGGTAAATATAGACCCATATCCCATACAACTTGGAAATAATGAATCCATCAGCTTTCCATCATGACGCGGAATCTTCAGTACCCATAGAAAGTGGCTCTACAATCCAAATCTTTGCAACATTTTTTATAAATAGAATTACTTGTCCGAATTATTATCCATTTTGGTTAGTATTGCTTTAACTTTTAAGGTTTTGATAAAATTGAGAAAATTTAAACGTAATCTTTCGTTTTTGACAGTATTGATTTCTGTGAATTGATTGAGGAACCGTCTGTCACTTGCATCATTGATGGTCAACCTTGCGGACAATGTCCTCTTCCTCCCGGAGACATACAAATTAGAAACTTAACAGTTTTATTTCCAAAGTTTCCTTCGGTAATTATATCTTTGAGTAGCAATTCTCAAATTGCAGATATATACATTCTTACAGTAGTCTGTCTGTCAGTCTTCCCGTATTCATTAATTAATCTCGAAAACGGAGTTAGATAAAAATCGAGCCACCAGATATGGAAAACTTCGGAGCTGGATGCCCGCTTACCTATATAAAAACTTTCAGTTTGGTCACGTAAATTTTTAAATTAAGAGATTATTAAAAATTGCAACTCGTTGTCGTGACAAAGTCAAGATAAATGGCGCGAATTTACTTACACGATATAATTTATCCGAGTGTATTGTCTTGTTGTCTGTACATTTATCGTATAATCTGGTTTGCGCTGACTAAACTGTTTTCGGCCAGAACAATTGGGCCCCTTTTCTCTTGCAAACAAACAAGAAGGAAAAATTTATTGTATTTATTCGTCGAAAGTCTATTTTCTTCATAGTAAGTAATAATTTATTTATTTTTCTTCTGTTGATAAACACAAAGCTCGGGTTTCGAGTTAGGTGGCGAACGTCCTACCTTCTGATTGTCTGTCGACATAACATTTACAGATGAAGAAATACATATATTTTTAAAAATAACCTAAATTAAACTTTTTCTAGTTCCTATTTTTAATGATTTATTCACGAATACTCGTGATTAACACGAATATTCGAGAAGCCGTCGAGGCAGATACAAAAGTTACAACTGCCATTAACGGGTTGTTTACCCGTTTCCTCACTGACGGTACTAAGAGCTTAATTTTAAAAGCTATTGTGCGATCGGCCAGGCCCCACAATGGGATGATCGAACGAGTGAGGAGGAAAGCCTATATATCCGGGACAGAGCAAACGTTGTTTGGGCTTTAATAGTGTACATATTTATTCCGAACGTAACGGACGTTCCGGTTATAGTTGTTCCGAACGTAACGGACGTTCGGAACAACTAAATAGGAGCCACTTATTAGAGAAATTCCTTCAAAAAGTCATTCTTCTAAGCAGATCGCCCGCGTATCGCGTTGCGGAACAGTCGAGCCAGTGTTATTAGTTATGATGAAATCGTTCTTTCTCTCATAAATATGAGTAACGTAGCTGCAACAATGTCCCAATTCTGAGTTTCTCTTAACGATTAAGAAAGGGCACCACTCAGAAAAAATACTTTTAATATCATCTGATCGTGTAATATTATTTGATTTTTCATAATTGTCTTGGATTATTTTACTTAGTCTTTCTATATTTACCCCTATTTAACTTCTATCTAATTATTTTTAAAATGTAAAATATTACATACAAATTAATTTGTTAATAAACGGAGTTTACTTGCTAATAGAACTTTGTATTCTTCTTTGACAGTGTTGTATGTAAGAGCACTAAACCTATAGAGATGTCTAAATAACATGCTTATAAACACTAAGAAAAAATAAATTTTTCGAAATAAGTGTTGATAAGTTATATGCAAAAATGAATAAATATATAACATACCGTTACTTACAAGCATTATATTCAAAGGAAGATCAGTTGTAATTGCCAAAAATAGAACACTTTTTCAATGAAAACCTGAATAGGATCTAGTTTCCTATTGGCGAACGGGCTGATCATGTGAAGTTTTCCGCATGTTTTACATGTTACTATCGTCTAAATAGAGTCCAGTTTTCCATAAAAGACCTCCCGGGAGGCATTCCCTCTGTTTATAATACTATACATTATAAAACAAACATAGTATATCATTCACGTTTACATGTTTATGTAAACCTCAAATATTTCTAGAGTTGCTCTCCTGCAGTAACATAGATGCTGCATGGATTCTAATTTCCATATTTGATGAAATCTAGAAAGGATTGACATAAGTTTTCTGCCAAAAAACACAAAACTAAACGTTATAGCATAAGTTAAAAGTTAAAAAATTGTGATGCCATCTGTTATGAAAAACAAAAATAGCTTTTATATTATTAAGTATTAAAAAAAATCATTTACAATTTAAAAGCCCAGCAGCAATCATTACCTGGAAGTTTCTTTCTACAATATGTTTAAAAATAAACATGAAGCTAACGAAGCTGATTATAATTTAACAGAACACATTTGACTTGAATAAAGCAAGCAAACCCTCTCATGAATTTGATTCCATTGAGTAGATGATAATTTTAACTTCTGAAAATAATAATATAATAAAATAATGGATATTATATAATATCTTTTTGAAGTTACGCTTATATTTAGATTAATTTATAATCTAATGTTTTTTTTTGGTCTTGCTCATTTTACACTCGACCTCACGACTGCGACTGCAAAATAATACGACAATTTAAAAGAGTCGACAGGATTACCTTATCCTGCAATGAGTAAATCAAGAGAAAAATCAACTCCAGAAACAGGTAGTTCTACTTCTCCTCTTAAACTAAATTTTATACCGTTTAATCCACGAGAAAAGCTAAGCTTAACTCTGTGAATGAGACTCCCCTCAGGTTCTTAACCTTATCTTCTTTTGGCTCAAAATACAGCAGGAACTTGTAGGGGTAGGGATAGTTTTATTTCCTTTAAAGTAATCTCTGCTAAATATTTTTAACATTAATGAATTGTCTCTGGTATGGATCCATCACCAGGTCTCATTCAATCACACTACTCGAGAGGTAAAGAAGTTTGAAAAAGTATAATTTATAAAGCAGACATCTTGTAACGCACCGTTTGATCAAAACATCGAATTTGTCAGGATTAATTTAACGAAGGGGGTTCATAAGAAAAATGCCATGCTGGGAATTTAAATTCATGGCAAGATAAATAAAGTATTGAACTCTCTTATTCAAATCATAAGAAACAAAACCCAAGAAAATAAATGACAACTTGCCAGAAAAAATCAAAAGGTATGTTTATTAAACGTTTACTTTACAACTATTTTTTTTTTTTTAACGAAAACAACATGGAAACAATACAAAGCTATTATAATTAAATAGTAATGAAAAGAAAGTGAAATTTAGCAATTTAATAACGAGTCAAAACCAACACAAAGTATACAAGTCTCCCGACAATTTAGTAACTTAAAACTAAGTCTAACTACAAACAATACCTAAAATCACTTAGAAAAAACACTTCATAGGACCAATAATCCAATTGCTTTATCTCGATTTTCTTGTTGCTCCTCTGTCGCTTTAAACGCCTTGTGTGTGACGTTACAACAATTCGTGCCACTCTATTTTATTTACATATGTACTATACTGTACATCAGTCTCTCTCTGTCACATACATTTACAAGTAGTAACACGTGCGCTGTAATGCTGAGTGTCGGATTACGTGACCTACCATACCGGCAAGTGATGGACTGTGGATACTCTACTGTACTTTAATTATATAAATTTTCGAATAGCGTTTTATCACAGATCGAAGAAAGATATTCATCCGACATCAGATCTCTGAATTGCATGAGAGTGGACAATACACTCCCTATTGAACTTACTGCCTATGAAAAGTAATGAAAAATTATATCAGATGACTACAAAATATAATTAAATACATCTACTGTTGATTCACTAAATAAAATTATGTGCAACTTTCACAATATACAGTATATATGAAAAACTTTCATATAAAAGAGGATCTAATGTACCTATTTTTTGTAGTGACGTTTATATATGAAATACAGTCGACCCCCATAACACTGTTGATTATTCTGTTTTATATGAATTTCATTTCGTACGAGCCACTTAGATTTTACAAACACACGTGCCGGGTTGTGAACAACTCATGTATTTGTTAAATCTAAGTGACTTATACAACATGAAATTCATATAAAACAGAATAATCAAGTGTTATAGGGAGTCGACTGTATATACAGTAGAGCGTCGATTTTCCGAAAGTCAATCATCCGAAAGAATTGCAGTCGGCAAATTTAAATTTTCGCCAGTGCTGTGGCGCTTCAATCTTTGGCTATGTCTTGGGCTACTCAAATATTTTACGTTTTTGATACTAAATTAACATCTGAAGTATAATTTTTTATTGTTTTTATATTTTTCAATNGTACAAAATAAAAAAGTAATTTTTAACAATACAATAGTCTTTGTTAGGCTTAACATCGACGAAACTTCAACGCGAAGCGACACACAACGGAGAAAAATTTCAATATCGGATACGTTAAACTATTTTTTCGTGCATAAATCGGTTATCCGAAATATCAGTTATACGAACAACCCCAGTCCCCAATTGATTCGGAAAATCGACGCTCTACTGTGTTTTGAAATGTGCAGTTCTTCTAATGCCATTTAAAATTTATTTGAATAAAAGATAGAATGTCATTAAATTATTTTAAAATAATAAAGCTAGTGTCATTTAAAAGATTAATTTTAAAATTACCTGAATGACGGAGTGTTTAGTATAAACAATTGTTCCAAAGTAATGAAATCCGATGCGCTCTTCACGGATGCACTTCATGAATGTTACCGCCTAAAAGACAAAGTAACGATGTTAAAAATTTGTTTTAAACATTTATAAATGAGTATTAAAAAATGAAAAGTTGCTAATATGTTTAACGATAAATGCTCAATTATGGCGAATACGTACAAAGCGTACAATAAATCACGTTCAATTGCTAAAGATTGCGTTGTACTCTTACGTATTAACACGTAACGATTTATTTAAAGTAAGTTAACCCGCGTTACAAAAATAGGAATGACTATTCATTTGAAGGTCATTAAACACATTTCAAGTCTTTTAACAAACAATTATTTATTGTGAAACTGTCACAATGCCGGGCTGTAATTTTTTAGATCTCAATGCGCAATGCTCACGATTTCAGATGTGTCGTGTCCCCCTGTATATCATACTTTTCCTGTTAACATCCAATCACTTATCTTTTTTTAAGACTCTCTTCGCTGTGCGGGCATTCAGTTGGCCTCTTTTAGCAGGCCCATTATGGGTTCAGCTAGGCCCACAGTGGGGCGGCCGGATGGTGAGGGACTGGGGCCGACATATCCGGACCACTCCCCGAAAAATTCTTGGAAATTTTTTGACCTGTCGGATTCGATCCCTGGTCCCCCAGAGCGGTACGCTGTCCCCTTTACCGCTTGGCCATCCGGTCGTCCCAGTCACGTATCTAATAAAAATTGAGCTAGACATAATAGAGGATTAAAAGCTTAGTGATTGATATTAATTGGTTTTTGCAGTACATAAATCAGGCGAATAACGAAAATCACATAAGATTTCAAGAAATATTATTATTATAATATAAATAATCTTATATTCATGACCATTTTAGTTAATTGAATTACTTCATAAAAACGGTATCATAACCTGAAGATATGCAATAAAATCTATTTATATATTTGACTGATACTTTACCTTCCATTTATCAATAACATCCAATTGGCAAACACTTAAAATACGTAGGTGTTCGATAGGAGATGAAGCCTGAAAATGATGTTCAAATCGTTTATTTTATTAATTAAATATTTAATTGAATATAATTATATAATATAATTTAAAAATAACTCTAGTAAACATGTGTTACTATTTTTTATTTTCAAGAGTATCAAAATTTTATGATCATTCCCATTTGTATGGAAACTTTTACCTTTGTCTAACCTCTTATGAGGAAAAATTTTGAATTGATATATACAAGATAATATTAATAATCAATCTAGTAATTATAGTAAAACATTAAAAATGTTGACTTACCTTCACTGGAATATCAGCAACAGCAAACCCAAAAACAACAAGTAATAATGTGATTACAAGAGCCAAAAAAGTCCGATAAAAATTTTATAAAGGGAAGGTGCGAAAAGGACGTAATAGAGACTAAAAGCTATCGAGTTAATGGTACAGAAGTATACAATCGAAATTAAGTAAGAAAATTTATTGTCTACTTCTTCGGTAATTTCGCACAATTCAACAAATTTTCTTTCTTCGATTTTTAAAGCAATTTTAATTTTTTCTGGACATCTTCTACACTCTGATAAAGCCTGACAGATATTTTCAAATTTTACTTTTATGAAGTACAGTACGAGAAATACGACGAAAACAAAATGTAATAAAACACCAAAACACCAAATATAAAACAAAAGATAACAGAGTGAGCAAATTACTAATTGATTTTCGGGAATGGAAATGTATCGAATTACAACATCAATCCCAAATGATATTATTACGCATCCAGAAACAAACAGAAATAATACGAATCTTCGAACCCATTCCCTGACCGTCAACAACTTTTCTATCTCGCCTTTATAATTATATTCGAATGTCTGAAACTTTCCATTGTTTTGAAAATAAATTTTAACTAAGCAAATCAGTCCCGACGAAAATATCCCTATGACCAAACATTTGGTGAAAATGATTGTAGCGTAATTATCTTTAATTTTATAGAGGATACCCCCACAATATTGAATACTTGTTTGCTCGTCAACCACAGAAATATAAATTCCCCAAAAGTAAAGTAAAACTCAAATTACGACATAGAAGGCATAGTATAACCGATCGAAATTGCTAGTGTCACCTTCTATTTCTTGGCATGTAGGAAAAATGCTTATACCAAACCCCTTCAATATGTAAGTGAAAGGCTGTAGATAACAATTGATACAAAATGTTGGTTTTTTCATACTTTTTGAACTTCCTGAGTTTATCTGAAAAATATTATAATGTATTTGAGTTGAAATAAACGTGTAATATAATGTTTTTTAATTGCAACTTTGAGTTTCGATCGTACCTGAATAGTAAAAATCTCTATTAGCTTTGAACACTCTTATTCATTGTTTATACAGTAGAACGTGTTACTTCGTTCTGAGGTAACTCAGTCTTCTTTTTCACTTTCCCAGATAAACTTTGCAATGTTTCAAAAACACTTCTCCGGTTACAAACACTAAATAAAATACATATAAAGTGTTACTTAAGTATTAATATAACACAGGAAATCCTCGTTACCTCGAAATTCAGGGGGCAAAATAATTGCGACTTCGAATTATCCAAGATTTACATATTTCTGTATAATATGCCAAATGCCACGTAACCAGTGTAGTCTGTTTTTGTTAATTAATAATTAATAATAATAATACAAATAAACTGCAGTGTCAGGTGACAACCGCAGGTGTCCAGAGAGGTTTTATAAAAAGTACAGCATAATTCCTCCAAATGTGGCTAAATTATATTTAAAGTGGCCCAAAATGTAGTAATTCGCTCAAATGTAGTAGCCTAGAGTTATACAAATACAGTATCTCAATCTTGCAACCCCGAATACCAGTAGTATTTTACGCGATAAAAAAAAGAGTTATTACGGATAACATAACACCCGAAAATATGTTATTGTAAAAGTAAAACAACGTTGACCTGACTACAGCTGTTCTTGCTCTACTGTTTTCTTTTACTATGGAAACAGTTGACTTGATTACAGCTGTTCTCGCTCTACTGTTTTCTTTTACTATGGTGGCACTTTTATCTAAACGAACAGGTCAATATTACAGTTCGGACAGAATTTTCACTCCGACTTTCGAAATAACTGTATTTCGAACTAACCGAATTCCTTAAGGGAGTGGAGAGGGAGATAGGGGTTGTTTCATATCATGAGTTGGTTTATAATTAATGAAAAGTCTACTCGTTATTGACAGTTATAATGTTTTATAAGCTATAATCGATCTACAAAGTTAAGTCTTTTTCCTTTTTCTTTTCTGGCTATTATGTATTCATAATAAACAGAAGCATAGTTACCGTGGAGCAGTTGGAGCAAACCTGTCAAGTGCAGGAATTATGAAGGCGTTAAGTTACAAAGGACAAAATAAAAACTAATAAAAACTTTTGTAAAAGATTTTTATATTTAAAAAAATAATTAATCGTTGCTTATTCTGAATAAGCAATAATAATATCAGAATATATATAAATGTTTAAACCAGTGGAACACATTAGAAATAATATTAATAATAAGTTTAAAAAAAAGAGTTAAAGATATAAAAGAAAAAAAGGAATACAGAGAAATCATATATCAAATATAAAAATAGAATTGAAAAATTAAAATACTTCTTACAAGAAAACAGTATAGAAATTATATAAGTTAGCACCTCCTTACAAGATATCTCAAAAATAAAGGTATGTTGTAATATATCATAATATAAAACATTTTGCCTAGTGTTGGACGTCAACTGCTCGAGTTAAAATGTGTTTTTATACTCAGGTAAAAGAAATTAATCAGTAAAATACGCTTAAATTACAGTAAGTTTTCTTACCCTTAAAGTTTTTAACCTGATGAAATTAACTCGGATGAAACAGGCAAGTTCCTTCTACTTCTAACAATAGATTGCCTGGTAATAATGCTTGCCTTTATTATATAAACTCGATTACTCGTGCCGTTGATTTATGATTCTAAAAATAATCATAAACGTGTCACGAGAACGTATAATTAAGAATTTTGGAGTGTTTTCAGAAGTATATGGAATTTACTTTAATTAATTTAACAATATTTTAGAAGGGTTTTCGTGCTTAAGTGCATTTAGTACTTAAGAGTACTTATTAAAATCACTTTAGGAAGTGACGTCTTCACAAGTTAATCATTTCTCTGCGTTTAATTAATTTATTTAGCACTACTAAGTTTTGTTTATGGTTTATTGAATGAATGGATTCTCTTGTACATATATTCTGTAAAAAATAATTCGTATATTTTCTATACAGTTAAACGCTTTAAACCCTTTTAAAAAGGTTTTTTCTGTCGACCCATTCAATATTATGTACTATATATCTATAAATACACCGTAATAAAATCCACGTTAAGGCCACAAAATTTAGTTCAATTTCGTACCTAACCTCATTAATCAAAAACAAAATACTAAATAAATAAATAAATACTAGCCCTGCGCAGGATTTAATAAAGCGGACACACAAAGCCCTCTCTATCTCCGGTCAGCCTCTTCATTCCAGCGAGCCTTAAAGAAACGGGATCCAGGGAGCCTTCTCCGCCTTTCGTTGGCATCTCCTGTCTTCGTCCGAGCGGGCGTTGAAGATGCAAAACACAAGGAGTTAGTTTGAGTAAAGAATAAAGAGTAACTCGAGTAAACAGGCCGACTAGAGATTCCATCTCTTTACTAGAGTGGGCCTAAGATAAATTCGACACAGAGAGCTATTTCTGCCTTCCATACATTATTGAATTTTACTTAATCGCATTTTTTTTTCGCAAAATCTTAAAGGAGCGCGAAACTTTCGAACAAATTTACGCTTAACAATGGCCACCTACAATAGATAAAGCCGACAATACATTCTAACAATTCATTACGTGTTGTTAGAATATATTATTAAAAATGCGTGACGTATTACGATCCCGTCATGTGTTACGTAAAAACATTAATCGGGGTGAAATATTTCAGAAAGGATTATTGTATTGAAATAATAATTATTAGAAAAAGGATTACTTTAAGTTTTCTAAAATAAAAGAAATGCGTTTTTTTCTAATAAATAAAATCATAGAAATGTCGAATCCTTCATTTATTCTAATGTTATCTGTATGTTTGAAAATCCAAAGAGGAATTTGTAGTGATTGTGGCCCTTTGCACGCCAGGTAATGCCACCAGAATGTCTTAATTCATAAATTTCAGAAATTTTCGACAAAAGGTGCTTATGCTTCAAAGTGGATGAACAAAATCCTGCCCCTCACACATAGTAACATCCATACATACAGAAAGAATTCCAGTGGTTTTGTATTTCCCGACTTTTGAAAATCTAGGGCCCAAACATTGGGACGATCATTTTTTGATCGATCGTCATACTTTTCTTCTGTTACCTGTGTATTAGTACAAAGCAAATTGAAGAGTTTAAGGTTAAAACTTCTAACATGTTCTTGATTTTCAAACTCGATTCGTGAGCAATGTAAACAATAGTGGATTTAAAATATTTATGGAACCACACTTTCATTCACCTAAGTTTAAATACTAACTTAAATTTAAAGGCATTGATCTACAGGGGAGTTAAAAGTTGCTTAATATTCTTATAAAATGTAGCTGATTAAGACGGAAAACATTTGTCACGAAACATGCCACTCTGTTCTATAATGTATAGGCGCTAAACATCACACAAGTCAAGATTTTTATGTTTCAAATAGTAATAGAATTAAAGGATTATAAAAGCCTGACCACATTGATGACAGGATTCGTGACGTCAATGATAAAGTTATTAGCGACACGTTCAATTTCAAATACTATAGTGGAACCCCGAGTAAGAAAAATTACAGGTGAGGTCCTTTTATAGAATTATCAGAAGTAAATATAAAGCGTAATTAAAACTAGTTTATTACAGAGGTTTTATAATGAATTTGGATCAGAGAAATGATATAGGGAAACATATCCCTTTAGCGATTTGCCAAAGGGCGATGTTTCACGAGAGGACTTTCACGGGGAACTGTTTCCTGTTTATATGTTAAACACATCAAGAAAACCCGGAAAACCTCACGTGCCAACCCGTTAGTGTAATGCAAACCCGCGACTAAATACAACTTTTTTTTTTTTTTTTTTTTTAATTCATATCTGTACTCGAGAAGTAGTGGCAAGGATCTACTATATTTCTATAACTTTTAATTTAGATATTTTTGATCAAAATTCAGATTATAAATTATTCCGTGAATTTTATAATGAACTTATATCTCATAAGAGCGATAAGAAGCTAATTATTACTAATTGCATCCTTTGTGCAAGTATATCATTTCCATATAAACAAAGTTTTCCGAGAAATTTCACTTCCTACCTTTTTATCGACAGCAATTTTCAACGTCAAACATCACATTTTACTCTTCGTAACGAGTGAATATGAACGAACACTTCAATCGCACGATGAAGATATTAATTAGTTTATTCGTATTGACGATTTTGTCCATTGTTTTCACTTCTGCAAAGAGTCTTTCGGATGTTAAACAGAAAAAAGATACTGAAAATTTTCATAAAAGGTAAATATTTTTTACAAATCTTTCAATGTTTTGATTAGTTTATTTCAACTTTTATCAACTTTTTAGTAAAATTTGGAAAAGAGTTGCAACTTCGGATCCGAATAAACTTTGGGATGATGGCGTTATACCTTACGAAATAAATGGAAATTTCAGTGGTGAGTTTTTAAGATTTTTATGATTTCAGTGCAGATTTAAATAATTTAGATAAATGAAACTGTTTATTGTATAAGAACAACCATAAAAATTTAATTAAATAATTATCCTGATATTCTGTAAGTAGTAGATCATGTGAGTGATTAAATAAAGTTAAGAACGAGAGTAAAAGTATGTTCGATTCGTTCGTTTTTCTAACCGAAAAGAATCTTAGTAACTGAGTTAATGTCACTTTACGTTACGCATATTTAATTTTGTATATCTTACAGCTAATTATATAAAGTTTATCCTATACGCAATGGATATATGGGAATCGAAAACGTGTATAAAATTTGTGCCGGCAGAACCCATTCATAAATTTCGCGTAACATTTACAAACGTCGGTGACTGTGGGTAAGAAATTGCCGATTTTTAATTTTTTTGCGACAAGACACGGATCAAGTTTTAAGAAATATCAATTCTTTGTTGATGATTTCAGTTGCTGCTCAAATTTAGGAAAAATAAAGGAAAAACAACCCATTATTTTACACGAAAAACAATGTACTTGGGTTTCGACAATATTGCACGAAATGGCGCACACAATGGGATTTTATCACGAACAAAGTCGTCCGGATCGTGATAACTTTATCAAAGTTTTATATGAAAATATAGAAGAAAGTAAGTTCATTTATGGTACATAAAAGTTGGAAGAATGCTTTTGTTTATTTACTTTTTTCTTGCAGAAAGAAAATATCAGTTTAGGAAAATAAGTAGCGATGAAGCGGACACTCTAGGATTTTCCTACGATTTCAACAGCATCATGCATTACTCGTCATTCACTAGTTCTGGAAAGGAAGGTATGAAAGCGTTAAATAAAAGTATATCATTAAAGAAACCCAACAAGAAACTAAGTAAAACAGATATCGCTGCTGCAAATAAACTGTATAAATGCCCAGGTAAATATACTACTTTTAATGTTTATTCTGGTAAAGAAAAAGTAAAAATTACCTCGTGATGTAGCTCAAATTCAGCTGATTGCACAGACTTTTCCACTTTGTAGGTTAAGTGACGATACGAAGTCAGAGATGAAGTTGAAAATACACTCTTTGATAAAAGTGAAAATGCAACAACATAAAAGTAAAAAGTTTATTGTACACAATGAATTTATCTATACCTACAGTTTTCACAAATCAGGAACTATGAGTCCAGAATATATTTTCAATACGAACAAAGCGTGTATTTTTAAATTCTTCGCTGATTCAGTATCATCACTTAACCTAAAAGCTGTGATAAGTCTGTGCAATCAGCCAAACTTGAGCTGTATCTGGAAGCATTCCTCCAGAGAACAAGCGAGAAGATTCACAAAGATGAATAAATTTAATTTTATTAACAGATTGTTACGTTAAACTAAAAAAGAAAATGGATAAAATAGACATGTCTGCAAACAGTCTGACATCACGTAAAGGTTCTTGTCAATGGTTTATAAAAAGAGATCCGGGAGAATTTATAGAGTTTTATGTCGAGAAGGTTGACATACCCGAAAGCGATGGATGTTCCTCCAACTACTTGCTACTTCAAGATGGATACACGTCCAAATCACCTGTAATAGGTAACTTTATATGTTTATGTACAGTACAAGTGTTTGAAGCTTGATGACAATTAAATATTCGAGGAAATAACGTTTTTCACACGATTAAAAATATTACGTCGAGATATTCTATAACAAGGCTTCTTTTTACCACCCCAAATAATATATTTATTAATTAATATACCAATATTATTTATTACACTTTTAAGATTGACTAAGTTGTTTTATGTTATTTAATATTAGATCGTGTTTGTGGAATTAGACAGAAGAGAACTTACTATAAAACTGAAAGAAACAATCTGTTGATCACTTACAAGTCTTTCCCAAATTATAAAAGTGAAGAGTTCTCTCTAGTGTACAGAGGTAGACGTATAACGTGATTTAATATTTCACTCTACATGGTTTAATAAAACCATAACTGATTTTAATTGTAGTTGTTTGCAACGGAACCATTAAAGGAGATTACGGCAGATTGCAAAATCCGAACTACGACCATCCTTATCCATACGATTCCATATGTCAATGGGTGCTGGCTGTTCCCATAGGCCATGTCGTTTTAAGTTTTGAGACGTTTTACGTGAGCGAAAATATCATTTAGAAATTGATCTCCCGTGTACATTTAAGAGGATTTAACAAGAAATTCTTTTTAATAGATTAATGACGATGAAAATTGCCAGTCTGACTACATCGAAGTTATTGATGGCGACATCGATTCCGGTAAAGTAATCTTAGATAAAGTCTGTGGTAATAAAGTGCCCGATGTTATCGTATC